ATCATTTATATTATGTTGCATGTGCATTATTTTATTTGTCACCTTTCACAGCATAAGTTAAAATTTTTAACCTTAAAGTTAAAAGCTTAACCCTTTAGGTCTCTGCTCATTATTATTTTTACTCCTAAAATATCACTACTATTTTGATCAATAAAGAAATATATCACAACTATGATAATGTGTGTAATTAACTATGTTTTAGTTGAATTTATGAACTGTTACAATTGACCCCGTAAGTGGGGACAATTGTAACAAGTGCTCGACTGTCAAAAATTGTTAATAACTAATATAATAACATTTAAAATTAGGTATTTTTTTTCTAGTAGAGGATAGTCTACTTTACTCGTCTGTCAATTAATACTAATAATATATTGGATTTTTTGTTAGTTAAAAATAGTTACGTAAAAAATGTTACAATTGACCCCACTCTCTCCTACAGACGATATTTTAAGTTACGAAATCAGGGACAAAAACATACTTTCTCTGAATAAATATACCTTTTTTAAACGGATCTTGATAGTGGATTTTTGCACAATTCGGGAGTATCTTTTGATTCATGTAAAATATGTTATCATCCGGTATTTTAGTTTCTTAATTTTAATTTTTTTAACTTATACCAATACAATTCTGCTACTAGCAAGTTTTAAAAGGTAGTTAAACTCTAAACATTTTTGTTTATATGCTTTTTTAAATATCCTTATTTGCGTGCAATTTTACGTTATAAAAATAATTTTTTGCATCCTACAAATACCATACAGTTCTCTAACCTGAAGGTTTTTAAAGGTAGTTAAGCAGTTAACATTTTTGTTTACATATATTTTTTATAAATATTTTTATTTCAGTGCAATTTACGTTATAATAATTTTTAAGCACCCTTCAGATACCAATGCAGTTCTGCAACCAGCAGGTTTTAAAAGGTAGTTAAACAGTAAACAATTTTGTCTATAAATTTTTATAAATATCTTCGTTTCAGTGCAATTTACGTTATAATAAATTTTATCATCCTTCAAATCAGGTATTTATCAACTTAAACTTTAATAAAACAAAATTTTAAGAAAAAAGTAAAACTAATAAATGTGTAGTTTTAGATCACTGACTTAAAACCTCACATCACGTACTTTTATCGCTTTAAAGGAAAACGCCATTTCAGAAAACTACCAAACATTATTTCTCCTCATGTAATAAAACGACCCCTTACTTTTCAATTTTTTTTAAAGATAATTTTCCTTCGAATTATCAAAATATTAAAAAACTATGAAATATTTTTTTAAAAAAAGTAAATCAAATATTTACCTTAAAATCTACACTGTTTAAATTTTCATTCAAAAATTATGGTAAAATAACTCTGTTTATCCGATTAACCGTAAAATTTAAGGTAGAGAACATTTTCTTTCCTTTATGGTTTTTTAACTATTCACAACTAGCATTTTTCAAAAATGTAAAAAACAAATTTATATAACTAGACATAGGACCTCAGCTTTTTGAAAAGTAATGGGCATTGGAGAGTGCTGGACACTGAGGGAGACACATGACTTCATGTGTTGAAGGGAATGGAGGAAATATTGTGGTCTCAGCACTAGGACTCGAACTCCTGTTCCATCGGTCATGAGATGGACAGATAAGTCCCCTGGGTTATGATATTTGCAAAGAACTAAGTAGTTTCATTAGGTGGTTCTAGTGGGCGCGATAAAATTCTGGTTGTTTAACCGTATAAGGTGAAAGCAGTTAATAAACAGTTTTTCTCAAACTTAACAGTTTAACTACCATTTTATTTATGGTTAGTTGACTGTTTTGATTAAATATGGTAAAATGACCATTCAATAAATTGTTATTTAACCATTTTTTTCCGAAAAATTATAACAGTGTATGATAATGTGGAAAGAAGTCTGATAAGGAGGAAAAATATTAAGGGCGATATAAAGTCTAAAAATATGAAAAAAGATAATTGGTTTACAAAAGCAGAAATAGAAGTAAAAATATTAAAAATAACGGGCTGGCATAAGCATAACTAAAATAAAATAAACACATAAGGGGATAAATTTAAAAAAATAAAATCAGACGATAAAATTAAAGTCAATTTTTAGAACGATTGAGTTGTTTGTTTTCTTTAGATTAGTTTTTGTTTGGAATTTGAGTTCCTTATATCCCGTTACGGGTTTTTCTTGTTGTTTTATGATCTTTTCATTATCCCGTTACGGGTAGTTCATATTTGTTATTGTTTGTGTTGTTTCTGAATAAAAGTTTTTTATAAAAAAAACTAAACAGTTCTTTAATATAGCTTGATACGATACAGCGATGATATGGACTTTCATTCAAATCCCATGTTTTTCAGATATTCTTCAAAAAATAGACGTGTCTGCTTCACACATCGACAGTGTCCACTCCTCCCCGCTCTTTGTCCTCTTCCTCCTCTCCTCATATCTCCTCCTAATGATGTTCTCCGAATGAATTCCAATCAGCAGCACTCTTCATTACTTTTCAACGCCGCTTCACTACTTTTTTTCTTCCTGATGTTGTTCTGCTCTAACATTTGTGTGTTGGACATCTGTGTATATATGATTATCTGTCCAATAATGTGAAATATGAAGAACAATAAAAGTGTTACATTATTCCTCACGATGGCTTTGATTATTTAATATCAAACAAATCCGGTCACTTTTACTATCATTCATTTACTTTAAAGGACCAACACCTCCTAGAAAAAGAAAAGCCCTCCTCACGGGTTACCATAAACGAGAAATACGATCCCCTTCTTTACCCCTCACAGAGCAGTTTAGTAACCCATACGTAGTGACATCTTTCGTATGCTCTCCCCACTACGCAGTTTATGTTCGCTACTTCGAACTACTAAATTTATTCGTGCAGAGGCCTTCCTTCTTCTAGGGGGTGTTGGGATAGCCCGGTTGGTAGGACGTTGGATCCATGTCCGAGAGGTCGTGTATAACTCCCGCGTACAATATGGTGACTAGTGCACTCTAAATCTGCGGAGGTCGCGAAATCCTCCAAGTTTCCATGACAAATCAATACCTCCGGAGATACTGGATCGAGATTGATCGTGATTAGGTCAAAATTACGATCTGCGGGTGGCTGAATGGTGTGTAAATGTGCCCTCTCTGTGAATATATCCTCCATATATATGTTGTCTCCAGATATATCCTCAGGAATGCTTCAAAGACCGCGATCAATAGCACATTGCGAAACTCTAGTGTAACTCACTAGTTCATCTCCAGTGGTATTTTAAAGTCTGTTCAAAAATGAGTTCAGGTTGCGGTGAATCAACGGCATACTAGGTTCAAATACCGACGCAGAAATCATGTAAAGCTTACGGCAACCTTGTGGTCGGAATTTTCTTGTTATTGTCACAAAAATGTTTGTACTAAAAACCTTTTTTCAATAAAGCAAAAATATTGCACTTCCAAACCTTTCATCCTAAAAGGATCAAAAATTATTTTTTAAAACCTTTTTTTAAAAAGTATTATCAATTAGGTCCAAAATGACGTATTAGCTGACGTCACACTAGTGATAGGATCAAATTGCATTGTCCATTAAAATTTCATAACAAGGTGGATTGTAGCTGAGCATATAAGACTTTGCGAAAAGAAACCTTATAATTACCTAGATATAAGGTTATTTTCACCTTGAGACTAGCTTTATTAAAGGGTTTTTTTCACGCTTGAAAACCCTGAGACAACCTCGATTTAGGGTTTTCATATATAAGGTCGATTTTCAAGGTTTTGGATGAGGGTAAAGTGCGTAGAATAGAGCAGATTGTCACATATTTCGTTTTAAGGTAAGAAGGTTTACACATAAACCGCATAACGAACCTTTCTAGGTTTACATGAAAAGGTTTTTGCTGAGTTAAAATGAACCTTATTTTTCTATCTGGGGAAACTCCAGCGCCTCTGTCGAACCTGTAATTATCTATGCCATGCCTGAAGCGTATCCTAAAACAAACTAAGCTGAATTCAAATCAATGAAATGGGTATATATGTATTAGTACGAAAGTTTGTTATCTCTTTTTACGTTTTCACTTTTCCTTATGTGTCCCGTCCTAGACTGATCGTAAAGACCGGGTTCCCAGCAAAACACTGAAGTCAAGCATCACTGGCTGTGATCAGTGAGCGGGTGGGTGACCACTTTGATCAAAATGCAAAGGGATCTAGTGAAAAAAGGGAGCGAGGCAACCGTTAAGTGCTCGACTTTGTGCGCAGGTCGTCGGGTTACAGGGCTAAAGAGAATACAAGGGCTAGTTCACTCCGCTCTTAGAGCTGAAGCTACGATTTCCATCCTCATGACGTCACTGTGTCTACAGATCTCGGAGATCGCAAGCAAAGATATGATNCAGCTATTTCATTGAACTCTATGTTCACATGGGCGGGAATCCACTGCAAGAAGCAATTTTTCCGGAGACGCTGAAGTTGTCCAAGCTGTGGTCAGTAAGCGGGTGGATGACCACTTTGATCAAAATGCGAAGGGACCTAGTTAAAAAAGGGAGAGAGGCTACCGTAAAATGCTCGACTTCGTGCACAGATTGCTTGGCTACCAAAATGGAGAGTCATCCCTTCTGTAGAGGATAAAAATTGCGATAGCATGTCTTTAGATCATCCTCAGGGATGTTTCTCAGACCGTCGACAATAATCAATTGCGCAGCTCTAGTTCAACGTAAATAAAATACCTACTTACCTTATGTTCGACGGCTCGGATCCCGTATGATATTACTTATGATTTCGTTGTTTCAGTTTAAATTTGGCACTTCTTTTTTCATCTCTGACGATTGTTACATTTCAAATGCTGATAAAATACATGCAACCTATCTCGCCAAAGACGAGTCACGTCCGGGTCACCACTTCAGACTTGGTATAGAGAATTACAATTTTGACAGTGCAACTTCGGTACTTGAACCAAGTATGTTATTGATTTTGCCATGAAATGAATCTTAACCCCTTCCTTTTCGCTCCCGTGAAAATGACGGGGATAGGTTTCGCCCTCTATTTCTCTCTCCCGTGAAATTTCCTTGCTGGAGTGTTCAGTAGTAACGCATCAATATTATAAGACTAATTCATTTTTTTTTTTGCCCGGAAACATTTTATTTATCATTTTACACACCAGATGGCAGTACCAGGATATTTTTAATGTAATTGTAGATAGTTAGTTTATTTTAAACTAGATGTCAGCACTAATCAAATACGTGTATTTGGCAGTTTTCCTGAAAATTAACAGTTTTCTTGAAAATTAACCGTGAAAGTAACCATGAATTTTCTAAAGCTGAAAAAAAATTTCAAAAATATCGAAATACTAAGATATTTTCTTTTCCTTACTGCGTAATCCACACAAAATTTGGTTGCATTTTGAGGCTTTGAAGAAAAAAAAATTTCACAGCATTTAAAACTTCCCAGAAATCACTTCTTCTATATTTGAAATTATAAAATTACTCTTGAAAGAGAGTTTGTCATGGAGGATTTCACGCACTGTTTTAAATAAATGAATCAATCTATATTGAAAAAGAAATTAGCATGTCAAACTCGCAACGCCTCATTTAAAAGCGGTTCTTGCTCAATTCACACGTTGCTAAAAAAAATCCTCTTATTTTATTTTTGGTTATTAGAATCTCATTATCACTCTCAAAAATGTTAATTAAAGTCAATATATTTACTAAAACATTTTTAATGACTTATTTGTGAATAACCAGCTATTTTTTGGGATTATTTTATGTATATGTCACCGGCAAAGTTTGAAATCCGGCATTCCATAGAATGCCTAGGCTTTGTATTTAATGCCTAAAACTAGCCGGCAATGTACGAAACGATTTATATTTCACACATTTCCTAGACATTCTATAGAATGCCAAATGAAAAACTGGCAAAGTATAAAATACATCTCCGATTCATTTCGAATATCACGTGGCAAGGTAAATAGCATTTGTCATGCTGTAGAATGCCTAGGTATTATATACAATGCCTAGGGAAAGTATGTAATACTTCTCATATTTCATTCCTTACCTGAAAACATCCAGCATTATATACAATGCCTAGGAATTCTATACAATGCCGGCGTTTCATACTTTGCCGGTAACATATACATGAAGATATGAAAACTAAGCGCAAGCAAGAATGTCGCTAGCTTTGATAGTACAGTATGAGATAATGTGATAGTAAGTGCTAGCTTTCATAGTATTGAAATAGAATAGTTTTATTTCATTTCATTGATAACTCTTGAATCCGTCTTAACTTATTGGTGGTCAAATGCCTCTGCAAAATTACCGAAATAAGCACTTGTAAAAAATTTCATTTGATAAATCAAAGTAATAAATTGCCAGAGATGTCCCTCTTAATAACCCCTTTGTGATATATATTTCTGTTTAAATAGTATACTGTATATGACTTTTTTTTTCGTCATTCACTTTACATTATTATATCTATAAGAACACGTTATTTTGAAGAAGAAATTTTCTCCTATAAATGGTTGCATGTAGTTTGAAATAAATTAATGCCACTTTTGGGGGCAAAAAAGACATAGAAAACTACAAATAAACAATTATTAATAGTTTTTTGGTATTCGCTTGACGAATTAGACGTGGCCATTAACTATTAAGTGGGGAACCAGAGAGAATGGCCTTACTTGTGAACGCACATCTCCCTCCAGATCCAGATTTCACAGTAACAGGTAACGCAGACCAAAACTGATAAAACCAGGGCCGGATCATCGCCTAGGCCCAATTGGCACGGGCCTAGGACCCGAACTTTCTGGGGGTCCTCAAAAATTAGTAAAAAGTCCACAATATAACTATTTTTTTAAATACTGAAAGAAACAGCTTTTCTCAAAAAAATTCATTTTTCATTTCAAATTTTCTTTATATTGTGATAAACCAAACTCGTGTAAACTTTGCACGAAAGTACAGCTGAATTTGAATTGGAGCAATTTTTACCTCAATGGCTTAAGAGAATGAACTGAATATAAATTTCAATTTTTTTAAAGTTATATATTTAAATAAATTATAAGTTAAATGTGTTTTTAATTTTCTATGGGTAGATATAATTTTGGCACTTTTGGATATTTTTTGCGTGTATTTTTTAATAAAAATTATAATTAATAACCTTAATATCTTAGCATACATGCTGAACTTATCGTTAAATCTAATGAAAAGTCGGCTAGCTTTGTATTGGTTTAAGCTAAATATACGAGGGCAGGTATGTGAAGCGTGGCGCAGTTGGTAGCGCTGTGGGCAAGGTTGATATGTAGTCCTGGAGGGTCTGGTTCATTTCATCGACAATCACTTCATCGACAGGCCATTTCATCGACACCACTTCTACAAAATGGTGACTGTTACACA